ATTTTTTGAACTAACAACACTCTAATTTGTTAAAAAAAAAAAAGAAAAAAGAGATATGCATAGAAAGGTTGACATAAACATTTTAGGGTAGATGATACAAACATATTTGTTTCCTTGGATGAGATTTAATATCATGGCACATGTTTTAGAAAAGTGGATAAATCTTAGAATTTTTTCTCTCAAGAAAATGATATAAATTTGGAAAATATTAGTAAATACTTCGATAAAATTACAAATATGGACAATTCACACTCAGCAAAGGTTTACATATGAAAATAAATTTCAGAATATGTTAGCTTGTTATTAAAAGTGTAATATAATATTTGGAAAGAAATATAACAAGCCAGTTGAATATTTGAGAAAAAACAAAATAAAAAAAAATCAGAAAAATCACATAGGCTGATTTTTACCATTTTCCTCCCCCCCCCCCCCATCAAATTCACCTTGCTTTTCTAATGTGTAAGGGAATGAAAAGTTTGGTTTTCTATAGTCTGCATAGTGAGGAGGAGGAGGGGCTGTTTAAGTACTGGCAAGTATAGTAAATCTTGTTTGTTATTATCGATTTATTTCTAAATGTATTTTGGACATCCCATTCATTTTCCTTTGAGAATTATATAATCTTCAATTCTCAAATTTTTTGCTTTATTGCATAGTTAAGAAGATTAAGAGTGTGTATTACACCCAGTTGAACGACTAAGCCTTTGGGTGTAATATTTATGCGTCTTTGTACCTATAGAAAAAAAAGTACTTAAGGAAGCTCTAAACACTAATAAAATCGCTTTTTGGACTTGGAGAAAAATATTGCATATAAAGGTGTGTATATTGAGACTATTTAATTCATTTTTTACATAGGGTACCTGCCTTTATTCTGCAGGAAACATTTTCAAAGACAATGGTCTATGAATGAACAGAAACACTGTTGTTCACTTACCTTGGGAAAAGTCATGTACATAATAAAATCAATTACTTAAACTTGGTCAAATATAATGCTAAGAAGATTTTAATCTATTATTGTGTAATTAACTGTAAATAACCATTTTGGCCCCATTTCACTTCCCGGGGGTCATGATTTGAACAAACTTGAATCTACACAAAAACCATAAAAATGATTCCACATGAGTTTCATCTTTCCTGGCCCAGTGGTGAAGAAAATTTTTAAAGATTTTTCCTATATATTCCTATGTAAAATTCGGCCATTTTGGCCCCACCCTTGCCCCGGGGGGCATGAGTTGAACAAACTTGAATCTACACTACCTGAGGATGATTCCACATAGTTTCATCTTTCCTAAAAAAGGCCCAGTGGTTTAGAACAGATTTTTAAAGATTTTTGTTATATATTCCTATGAAAAACTTTTCGGCCAAATTTCCTGTCACCACCCTGTGCCCAGGGGTCATGATTAGTACATTTATCTACATATATATTCCACATGAGTTTCATCTTTCCTGGCCCAGTGGTTCTGGAGAAGAAGATTTTTTAAGATTTTGCTTATATATTCCTATGTTAAACTAGAGATGAAGTCAAAAACCACATCCTTGTCGGGGGTCATTTTTGAACAAACTTGAATCTACACTTTTAAAATTTCAATGAGTTTCATCTTTCCTGAAAAAGTGGTTCCAGAGAAAAAAGATTTTTCCTATATATTCCTATGTAAAACTTTCGGCATTATTGGCCCCCGCTTGAAAAGTGGGAGGGTATATTTGAACAAACTTGAATCTACACTACCTGAGGATGCTTCCACATGAGTTTGATCTTTCCTGGCCCAGCGCTCCTGGAGAAGAAGATTTTTTAAAAATGCCATTAATTTTTAATAAATTCATGATTATCTCCCCTTGGAAAAGGGCATGGCCCTCCTATTTTACTTTTTGATCCCCTTCACAAGGATACTTTGTGCCAAGTTTGGTTGAAATTGGCCAAGTGGTTCTTGAGAAGAAGATGAAAATGTGAAAAGTTTACAACAACGACAACGACTACGACGACAACGACAACGACTACGACGACGACGACAACGATAGACAACGGACATATTTTGATCAGAAAAGCTCACTTGAGCCTTCGGCTCAGGTGAGCTAAAAAAACGTAATTAATAAGGTACTCAGATTAACATTTTCATACTTGACGCACGTTACTGTACACATGATACTGTTTATAGTATTTGTTCTAAAAAAGGAAATGCTTAAACATTTTATGATCAGCTTGGGTAAAGGATTTTTTTCGCTTCAAATTTCCTGTCAAGAGAAGTGTGCCCGCTTAGTACATTTACCACATAAAGGTACTTAGAACGAATCTATAAATATTTCATGAGTACAATTAAGTTATGGCATTAAGACCAGAGATGAAGTCAAAGACTTTGTCGTCTTTTTAGCTCACCTGAACCGAAGGCTTTTCTGATCAAATTTTCACATTTTCATCTTCTTCTCAAGAACTACTGGACCAATTTCAACCAAACTTGCTGCAAAGTATTCTTGGGTAAAGGGAATCCAAATTTGTTCAATTGAAGGGCCATGCCCTCTTCCAAGGGGAGATAATCAAGAATAAGTGAAAAATTTATAGCATTTCTTTAAAATCTTCTTCTCAAGAACCACTAAGCCAGAAGAGATGAAACTCATGTGGAATCATCCTCAGGTTGTGTAGATTCAAGTTTGTTCAAATCATGATCCCCGGGGCAAGGGTGGGGCCACAATAGCCGATCAAAGTTTTACATAGGAATATATAGGGAAAATCTTTAAAAATTTTCTTCTCAAGAACCATTGGGATAGGAAAGATGAAACTTTTTTTCAAAATGTTACATTCGAGTTTTTTTTGATAGCAAATTGCCCCTTAATTAAAAATGCCACAATCTTTTCAAAGTTTTACATAGGAATATATAGGGAAAAATCATTTTTTCTCAAGCCTTCCATAGGGACTAAAAGATCAAACTCATCATTAATTATATTCAGGTAGTGAACATTCAAGTTAATTCAAATTATGGCCCCTGGGGGTAGGGTGGGGCCACAATGGCCGATCAAAATTTTACATAGGAATATATAGGGGAAAATTTAAAAATCTTCTCAAGTACTGCAAAGCCATGATTAGTTATATTTTTTGGAAGCATCCTCAGGTACTGTAGATTCTATTTTTGTTCACAAATAACCCCCAGGGATAGGTGGCCTCCATGGGGGATTTCAAGTTTTACATTAAAATATATATTAAATAATCATCTAAAGAATAGCAAAGCCATGATTAGTAATATTTATATGGAAGCATATGTGTGTAGAATTAAATTTGTTTAAATCATAACCTTGTGGTTTTGAAAGGGTATCAATGGTGGATCAAAGTTTTACGTAGTAAAATAAAGGGAAAAATCTCAATAACAGAAAAGCTATGTAAAGTCATATTGACAAGTAAGCATGCTAATGTATTGAAGATTTAAATTTGTTCAAATCATGAATACCCTTTGGGGTAGGGAGACAGACCTTGGATTAAATTCAAATTATTAAAAGTAATATATACAAACAAAATTTGGAGGCATTCTCAAGGAGTATTAGATTTCAAGCCCCCCCCCCTCCCCCCCACCCCTCAGTAAACTTTTCAATTCTGATCTGATTCGTGCTTTTTCCTAGCCGATGTGCTAGGGTGAGCGATGTGGCCCCTGTACCTCTTGTTGATAATTTAATTAACTTACTTTTAAAATTTTCAACATTCATTAGCAGAAAAAATATTCCAAACGAAAAATAGATTATTACCTGTCAACTATCTTTGATTATTTAAGTACATGTAGCACTTTTTAATTGTCTTCCAAAATTTAGTGAGAATTATTTCGGGATATTTTTTAACAATATTTGATCAATAACATAAATTATAACGTATAATAATGTTACCATTCTATTTTATGACAATGTCCATACATTCTAATGATAAAAGCATTTTTCGTGGATAGCTCAATTTATCTAAAGATATATCTTGTTTTCTGCTTTAACAATGTTTTATAATTTTAACTACAGAAAATAAACATGTACGTATTCAAAAGTAATGTTTTTTTTTAAACTTGTGATTTTTCTAATTTTATATAAAATAAAACAGAGTTTATAGTCCTAGTAAACTAACATTTACAAATCAATCAAGTCTTGAATATTAACACAAATCAGTGATGTTTTTCAGTGTTACACAGTGTAATTATGGCTTTGCAAAAGTACACATATTTTGCATATATTTGTTAATCAACATCTACCATTGTTTTTGTGTTTTGTTTATTTAAAAAAAAAAAACAATTTCTACATTAAAGAAACAAAACAACGGAAAATTATTTATGAAAACTGCACAGTATATAAGGAGGAAACAAATGTTGACCTTTGATTAATTATTCATTTAAAACTATATTATTACATATCAGGAGCAAAGCAAACATGAGCCTCTAACAAACCCACCCGTGGCGGCATATGGAGATAATTGATACTTTTGAAATAAAATTATATTTGGAAAACGCTAATATCTAGCACGGTTAACAATGTATTTCAAACTGTTACTGTAAAATGAATGCAGGAAAATGCTCAATAGATATATATTTTTTTAAAATTATCCTGCCCAGTTTAACAATATTGAATAATAACTCCACCAAAAAGCAGCTTTCCTAACAACACCTACCCATGGCGGCATATGGAGATAATTGTTTGATTGATTGATTGATTGCATGATTGATTGAATGTTGTTTAACGCCGAGTCGGCAATTTTTCATAATGATAAATTTATTATATAATCGGTTTTTGCAAGTTTTTGCAAAAGAAAACTTTAGAGATCAAATGCATAACATTTATCCATAAAACAAAGCATAATAACAAGGGGGTTTTTAACTCGCACAGAAAAACAACGTCATATTTCTGCGAAATATTTCATACTTTTTTAAAAAATAAAATATCTATTTAGAAAACAACATGTTGGTGATCAGTTAAAATGGATTTCAAACTGTGATTGTAAAATTCAACAGTAAAATTGGTTGATACACATTAGGTATATAATAAATAAGAAAGAAAATAAAAGTCAAAAGTTTTCAAATAAGAACACGAGCAGAATTTATGCAGAATATTTGGTTTAGCTGGTTATTCACAATCACAGTCCCAGTTGTCTATGATATCAGACGTCCAACACGAGAAAGACAATCACTTAGCCTGTACACCGTCATTCCTAGCAGCTGTACTAATGCTGAAATCCCAAGAAGACACAACACAACGATTCCGTACACTAGTTTGTCAGTGAAATATTTTGTCAAGAATGCATAGAATCCAGTGAGTAAAGCCACCCATAACAGGTTAAGTGATAAATACCCCACCAATGTCTTGTTCCGGAGAGATCGCAGACCATTGTTTCTCTCTTGCTGTGTTATTCCCGTGTTGATGTTGACGCCTATGCTATCGTTGACAAGTTTCTGCCAAAATGTTGTTTCGTCCTCACTGATATCTCGTAGATCTATAGCAGAGGAGCTTAGGCTCTCGTACGAATTACTTCTGACTACAAAAAGATAACAGAACGGGAAATGATGAAAGCTCAGGGGAAGAGAAGAAGTTTCAAAATGTCAGAGGATTTGAGTTAAAGAAGTTAAATTCTCTAAGGAAAACGTACTTGTATATTCAACAGATTTTCACATGTTTTACTTTAGACAATTGTTAAGAACATATAAAAAAATTTCAAAAGCTCTTAATATTAAGAATTTTTTGGAATTAATGAATTTAAATCGTATATAAGAGTAAGTACTTTAGTTTATATAGTTATTTACCAATGATATTTGTCATATTTCGCAAAGATTTTCAAACATAATAAATGATTTGTGAACAAATCTCTAGAACTCATTTTTTTCTTGCTTTCTAAAAATACATGCAAATAATGTAATGATTACCTTTTCTGTTTTCTATATATGCCGTGATAAGGATATTCAAATTGCATTTTTCAAAAAGATACATGCTTTCTAGCTCGTTGACAGGAGCGGATAATCAAATAAAAAATTCGACGCTTCGCGTCTCCTTCGATCTGATGATCTGCGCCCTCAACTCGACGTGATACAAATCTTTAGATGAATATATCGTTATCATTAAGAAAAAGGTATTATTTTTTTAGTTTTATTGGGATGTAAAACGGGTTTGCATATGATCAAATCTTCCATAAACCCGAAGGGCTTTATGGCACATGATCAAATAATCCATAAACACGAAGGGTTTTACATCCCAATAAAACTCAAAATGATACCAAAAATGATACCTTATTACTTATATTTACATTTGTGATTGATTTATTACAAATAAATATGTATTCAATTTGTAAATCCATAAGGGATTTATTTTTTTAAATCTCAACGGTATAAATTGAATGTGTTGAACACGTCGATCACTTATGACGTCACTATGAAATTACGTAGATCGCTTATGACTAAACAATCAATTTATGGTCACATGACGAACGTCTTTTACAGAGAGATAAAAACGCCTAGCATAAATAGTGTTATATAAAGGCAAACATTTGCAAATGTAAAAATTGATATATATTTCTTCGTGCTTTACTATCATATCAGTTTTCTAACCAACATCACAACGCCGCGCATACGGTACATCGTAGTCCGCTTATATTATATATTTATTTAGAAATTCATATAAAATATAATATGGCTCAACAAACTTTTTAAGCTCACATGGTTTTTCGCACAAATTAGGGTCACATTGTTATAATATAATATTGTGTATCGAGACAGCAAAATACATTTTAAAAGTAGTGTTCACATAATTTGAGTTTTATTTCATTTACTGAAACATAATTCACACAAATCAATTTGTAGAACTTTGATATATTCAGGGCTGAAAAAAACAACTATTCTCATTTGAGTTTTTGTATCTTCTTGCCAATTGTAACTGTCTTTTTATCCGTTCTTTTGAAAGCAATAGCTCGCGCAATACAGCAACTGTAACTTGTTACAAAAAGAATCTTTTTGACTGCTTTCTATGTTAATCAGGTGGGATTTTAAAGCGCCAACTTCTAAAATCTAGAATCATGAAAGATTTATCCCACTGCAAATTTTTAACGTTTCAAACCGTAAATGCAGAAGAATTTTCCTTTTCATAGAAGGAATTAACGATTTTAAAAATTAAACAATACTTCATTATCCTACCCTTTAGTGTGGTTTCCTTTTGCAATATTTTCCATTTTCAGCGCTGTATTTCGACGAAACCAAGAGGAGTATGGTAAATGAGCAAAGCTTTTTAAAAAATGCTCACCTTTAAGAAGAAAATTTGACGATCAAGGAAATATACAATTTGTAAAAACCCATTGTAGTGTTTGAAACATCCTACCATTTATTTATAAATTTTCCTCTAAATCATCCACTTTGGAAACTTAAGATTTTGATTTTAAAAGACATTTACGCTTGACATTATATATATGTGATATAACGAAGGGTTATGCCATTGTACTGAAGTTCGAAAATAGTAATGTTTATTACAACAATCTGACCTTAATTTGTGCGAAAAACCAAGCAGTATTTTAATACAACAGGTTCATACAAGAAAACATGTTAACATTTTTTTCCAGAATTTTTCTTATTATCGCGCATTTGTCGGTAAAAGAATGCAGTTTCTCATCTTTCTTTCACAATTCACGGATTTTTTGAAATGCGTATTTGAAACAAGCAATCTTTAACCAAAGTTGTACTTTAACAAATATTTTAGGCCTTGCTTTCCTAAATACGATTTTTAAATAAAAGACAAAAAAATCTAGCTATTATGTAATATAAAAGAAAAGTTCATGTACATGTAATAATTAAAAATATAGTAAAAGTATAAAGCTGAAGAATTTGTTCAATTAATACAAACATTTCATGCTTTTTCTTTTCTTTCTCTTCCTAAACTTTGGCAGTCGTAGTATCCTTGGCACTGTTGCCTTTTGCTAAAAAAAATTTCAATTTTAATCATAAATAAATAAAACAGGAATATATTTAGTCTGTGTTGAAAATCGATGGTAAACATTTTTGCACTCAGTGCAATAAAAATTAAAAAAGAATTGCAGTGGTTAATAGTTGATTTTTTTTCTCGAATTTATATGGAAAGTTCCGTAAACACAAAATTTACAAGTTTTAGAGGTAGACGAAAGACCATAAAGCAAAAACCTCACAACCGATAGGTGGCTAGGAACATAACATTTTAAAGATAAAATTCTTGTTACAATTTAAAACAATTCAAAACAATCAATTAAGTTTAAGTTAATTAATTATGACTTGCAGTATGTTAAAAATAAAAAAAAACCTACATCATCTCTAGTTCCCCAGGTCTGGTCTACTATATTGCACACAGCATAAAGTGGAAGTAGAATATTCAACAGAGGGAGGTAGAAAAGGTATACGATTCCTGTAGACAACAAGTGCAACTCCAAAGGATGCAGTAAAGATGAGTAGAGATACACTACTACCACCCCAACCAAAACTAGGTTTTCGATGTGGGTTATTTTTCCAAACTGGATGTCTGTGAAAGAAATATCAGATAAGTGTCTTGAATGGGTACGTAAAAGCAGACTGAATGTTAAAGTAACTAGTACTCCAATCTCTCTCTCTCTCTCTCTCTCTCTCTCTCTCTGTGTGTGTGTGTGTGTGTGAGGGTGTGTGTGTGTGTGTGTGAGAGGGTGTGTGTGTGTGTGTAACCCTCTCTCTCTCAACAAGAATTATATAAAAGTTAGATAAAATTAATACATAAATTATCACAAAAGAGTGTCAGAGCTTCGATTCATTACCTTCTCGGATGTCCTCCACAATTAGAACACTTGTCGCAATAAAGACATACACTGTCAAAAAGCCGAAAAGCAAAATGAGAATTTTGCTTACAATCAATTTTTTATGTGTCTGCCAGGAACTTATTTGAAGAATGCAGTAAAGCAGGCATGCCAGAGAAAGAAGACCAGCATTGACTAGAAGTGGACAACTGGTGACCAGTTCAAATCCTAAAGCGAGCATCATGATTGTTGATCCGGGGTATAACACCATTACGACGAATAATTGAAGTATATAAAGGGCATACACCATGGTGAAAGCTGTGTTGTTTCTCATTAGCTGTGCTAAATAAATCATTGTACAATAAGTAATATAATGCTCGAAATACTTGTTGTAAAAACTAGTTTGACAACTGACAAGCCAACCTTTCCAAATAGAAGTGTTAACTAAGGTTGGGGTTGATTTTGCTAATTAAAGTGATTATATTCGCCCTTTTGGAGAAACTAGCGACTTTGTTCGTCTTAAGAATTGGCAGGAAGTCATTAGGACAAATGCAAGTTTACGTTCTCATAAAAAAAATATTTTTCAATATTTGAAATAATTTCTATGACTTCTTATTTAAATATTTTCACCAGTATTTGAATAGGAAAACATGGAAAAATGATAAAAATAAAATTGCAATGTGTTTTGATATCAGACTTTGTAAACTACTCTACATTAAATATATATATATTAACTGTGTATTTTACATATGTGTACATGTAACAACGCATGACTACTTAACAAAATTCAATAAATAGATTTGTATGACAGAGGAAAGTTAATGAATAGCTAATAGACAAAATTCTAATCGACTCTAGTCTTTAATTTGGTGAAATTTTTTTTTCAGGTAGTGGGAAGTTAACTTTTTTGCACGCATAGATTTGTATTGTTAAAATTCGAAATGTCAGAAAATTAATTCTCTGTTGAGATAATAGGAAAGAAAAGGAAATCCCGATTTCCTTAAGCTAATAAACGAAATATCAACTCACGTAAATTTCTTGCAACAACTGCTGCGTTGGCGAAGTCTGATAAAAGCCAACGCCTCCTTTGCTTCATAAATTCTTCTGTTTCCTCTGGACAAAACGTTGTGTTTTTACCATGATAAGAATAACGTAGATTCCATCCTTCCTTCATCATTAAGGTACACATCCATCGATCCTCACCTAAAACATAATTATTATAAAATAAAGTGCCAATATCCATTTCTTTCCCTTAGCAAAGATTTGAAATTTATATTGCGATTAAAGATTTGATCGTGTCGATTAGGTAAGTTTTATCCTTATATCTATGAATAAAATCACCCTCTTTCAGCCTTTCTTTTTCAAAAAAGTAGAGTCTTAGTGCTTTCATTTCCTATAATAAATTTTTTTTTTATATTTGTTTTATACAGATTTTTGAGAAAATGCAATCTTCTTGAAGGTATATAGAAAACACACTGCCCACCTTTGACTGCTTTCAGCAAAGAATAAAAAATGAGCACAGCTCACGATCCAACAATTAAAACATGACTGTTTTCTGATCTTCAGAACAGACCTTTCATTATGTAATTGCATATTCTGGATCAGAGTTTGTGTTCTACATGTATATGAAATATTGAAAAAATACTTCAACCTTAGTCCATTTTCAAAGGAATTTGCAGGATATGTTCAATAGCTACATGGTCACAAACAGTGCAAGTGATAAATACTGCATTTCGACCTAAACTGAGCAGTTTTGATTTTTCAGAAATTCACAGGGCTAAAATGGCCCTAAGTGGCTCTTGCTCTTTATATTGCTTTAAAGATTTGATTGTGCAGGCATGGTAGGTATTACAGATTTGCTCTATAGATGCTATGTAGTTTAGTGATTTAGCCATTTTCATGAAAAATTAAAATGCACAATTAAAGTTGAAATTGTTTATATATCTTTAACCATGGCAATAAATTTTGATTGGTACGTACTAGGGCTTTTACAGGTACCCCTGTATATTTTTCTTTTAATCCCAAAGATTATAATCTGTTGAATTTGACCTGCGAGTTTGTTTTTCATTTGAAAAAAAAAACACTTGACCATTTCTTTTTGTACAGTTGGTGCTTTGGGTTTTGTATTTCATTGGTATATTCATCGGGACGAGTATAATTTCTTTCTTTGGATAACAACATTTATGATTTATGATCTCTTTTTAATTACCTTGGAGTTTAACTTGCTTTTGAGAAACGTTATCCTTGGTCAGAGAGTGTCATACAAGGGCATCAGTGTTTCACAAACAATTTTTATATAATATATATGATACTTTTATAGAACATGCTAGATAGGCTAATGGTGCTAACGAGCGGTGACTTTGGCTGAATATTTTATAATTTTTGTTCATTCAACTATATACTAATAATTATTTGATCCTAAAAACTATTGTTGTTGTTTCAATTGATCTGTTTGTAATTCTAAACTACCACAATTGTTAAGTTTTTATATTAAGATGTAGTATATACTCAAATTCACGTGTGCTTATCTACTTTTAAATCCATTCTCTCCATTTATTAACAATGAACTAACTGTTTCAATAATTCATAATTAAGCATTACTTCATTACCAATTTCCAAGAACATATCTGAATTATTTGTAGCCGTGAATACCCTATATGTAAAAATGTACATGGTTATAAGAGTCATGCACAAAGAATTAAATATGACTTACCATTGTCTTTAGTAAAGACATCCAGCATTGAATTGGTAGGTTCAGAGAAGGTTTCAATGATGTCACTAATAGCTTCAAAGCGATATAGACTGAAGCACCCAGGACAACACATTACAGATCCAATGATGTTTTGTGCACTTTTAATCATCCAGAAATCTAGAACGATAATAAGTGATTACACAGTTTTTGAAATATCACAAAGTATCATGATGTTGTTTTTTCAGCTTCACTTGCTCGTTCAGACAAAACAGAAACAATTATTGTTAGCTGTCAAAGAGTTAAAAACAATTTTTATGTAGAAAAAGAGATAAAATATGTATTATATGAAATTAATGTTTAACCAGAAAGAGAAAGTACAAAAGAAAATAAATGATTGTATTATTTTCCGTAAAAAAATGCAAGCGCATGTAATTGTTAGTCCATCCCATTACTTTAATGTAATTAGAAACTTCTTTATCTATAAATTATTACAATTACGAATTACAGGAGCGTTTGACTTGATTCATGAAAAAAAGGCGCTAAATTTTGTTATAGTTTATATGCATAGGTAAGTCATGCTAAAATATATACCTTTAGCGTAATCAAACATTTGAAGCCAAACGATAGGATGTCTGTGAATTCCAATAGGGAAAGTCCGGCCACATACTCCTCCTATCTTCTCGTCCTCTTCCATTGTGTCCAAAAGATTAAGCACACTTTCATCGTCAAAAGCCATATCTGCATCCGTGGCTAAAATAAAGTCATGGTACTTTTCATCCTCAAGAGTGCTTGAATATTTTTCACTTTGCTCATTTCTTTGGTGTTTGTGGTATTCGAACTCTATATCACTAAACGAAGAAGAACGGAATTTTGCTCCTGAAAAATTATACGGTAAATCTCCATTATGCAGATCTGTATCATAGGCATACTGTAAGCTATTTATAGTATTCTTGTCCTGTAAATTTTCTAAAGAAATAAAACTGTGGTCGAACGAAGATCTCCTATTTTTTGCTTTGAAATGCAAACGGGGAACTCGCAGAGTTACTTCTGATTTGGTGTCGTTTGGAATATCCATTTCTGTTGTGTAAGACTCTTTTTCGGTTTCTTTCCTGTTACTCTCCATTTCTTCGAGATTTGTTACTGTTGTCAGATCGCTGTATGAAGATGTTTTACTGGAGGCTTCAAAGGTTACAGTAGGTACATCTTTGTCTGTCTGATTTTCTTCCTCAAATGTTGGTGTACCTACATTTACTTTTACTAAATCAGAAGGCTCGTTGAAGAATGATCCGGATGGATTGTATTGTGTATTGTGATACATTTTCTGAACGTTTGCTCTGTAATTCAAAATATATTTCATATACATGACCTGACTCCATCTTTTCTTTCCTTTCACAAGATTATTGTCCTTTAGATGTAAAAATAATGGCATTTCTCCTGGGACAGTCCACGATAATTTTATGCCATAAGGCGTATGAATCATGATTCCATATCGTTCTTCCATCATAAATGTTTCTTCTATAAGACATAATAGCTGTATTCCAAAATCCTTGACATCTCGTCCACTCGCACCGTTATCGAGGAAAATGTGTGATTCAATGTGTATATTCCGTTTTTGGATTTTTTTGGAGTTAGAAATATTTTTCAAGCTGCGTAATAGTCTGCCCATTTCATGAGCCGATTCTTGATACATCGTTGTACATAGGAAGATCCGAATGTTACTTTTATCAAATAATCTCAAGTGTGCAATTTTGGATAGAGACTTTCGCAGAAAGTTTTGACAAAAGAACACATTGTCATATGTTGTCATGGTGAGCTTGCTATTCAGAGATTCGTCCTCCTCCTCCTGAATATTATAAAAACTAGAGAAATAAAACAAAAGCGCTGAAACACAGGTCACAGAGTACAAACTGATGTGATAAACGGAATGAGAAACATGGAAGGCACTTATGGTAGCAAAAGCTCCCAGATCGTCTTTATGAACATTTATGTACAAAGCTAGAAGAGTTACAGTTAGAGTGCTACAAAAACAAATCACTATTGATAGAACTGCAATTCTCTCAGATACAGTCGGAAGAAATGATTCCATCTGCATTAATAACACAATTATTGATATAACACACACAAAATATGAAGAATTGTCGTTCCAAATGTTGAGAAATGACATAAATCTGTTCTCACTTTTTATACTATAACTGAATCCTATCCATGTGGTCAGTACAATAACTGTAATACGTAGGAACAGATACAAAAGCTTAGCATTTTGTGCTTCCTTTGTATGTGTACCCACAATGTAATTCTGCAGAGGTATATATCGAGTAAAGTTTATTTCCAGTAAGCACAATCCAAAGATGGATGCCTGCTTTATACTAAATATGTTGCTGAAGACACATAACGTTGATATGACGGCTACAAGGGTCATCTGAATGTATGGAATGATACTTTGCTTAGTCCAACTTGAACATTCGTCCTTTTTTGTCTGAAAAAACAATGTAAAGATCGTAATTCAGTGGGAAGATAGTAGAAATAGGATTTACATCTTCATATACAGATTTTCATTCATAATCAAGCAATCAATAAAATGGTTTTGGAATACTTAATTTAAAATGTTCTAATATGTGTCCCACTTAACGTACAAGTGGAAATTTCAGCGAGATGCAAATGCAGCGATTTATCATTAATTCATTATAAACTGGTATTTTATTTTTAGCAAGATGTAATTTTAGCTGTTTTAAAAAGCTCACTAAAGAAGTATTGCAAATAAAGAGCAATTATTTTTAGCAATGCTAAATTTAAGGGATCTTGGCACCCTCGATAATAATACCAAAATTAAATCCTCACTAAAAATTCTATTTATACGGTATTGTATCTTGACAAAATATCCAGGTGTTCTAGATCTGCGATTTCACTTTTAAAACAATACAAATATGTTGAACATGAGATAATGGAAACTTGTTCTTTTAATATATTGTTGTCATAACTTGAACATTTAGCATATAGGCGTGATATGCGTGAATAATTGGTTAAATTTCCGCTCACAGTTACTTGCTGAACCCTTGAATCTGACTGATTGTATATTTTTTATGTCCCTTTCGAGAATCCTTCACTCAGACGAAACAATATACCGATGGAGGCTTCTTTCGACTTTTACTTGCCACGCATGGTCATTGAGCAGTGATGAATCCTTATCATGCCAACGCTTGTCGTAACATTGACATCTTTTTTAGGTCTCAACCAAAGAACACGTAACTTTCACTGAAATTAATGCGAGGGAACATTTGCTACCTATCTTTCTATCGACTTAGGTCAGTAGCGACCCTGTTATGATTCCATAAGCTTTCTGTCACATAGCGCATTTTAATGTGAGCATGCCTTATTTTTTGTCACAGGTGGTGAAAAGTCAAGTCTCAACCGGGACTCGAACCCAGGGCCTCTAGCGTACCGTGCCAGCGCTCTAACCACTGAGCTATTGAGACCCGATATATTGACTGACTTTCATGCACCTGTGAACACGGTGAGAATTTGCTAAACAGTTTAAAATGAATAAAGGTTCTGTCTTTTGAATATAGCGTTTTTCGTTTTGAGCATATGATATATGTGAAAGAAAGCAGTTTATATCAGAACATACCCGCTTTTGTTGGATGGTAGGTGATATCCCAAGGCAAAGAAAGGTAGGCAATAAAAAAGGTGGCAAATTTGGAAACGCTTCACTTGTAAGGAATGTAAGAGCTACAGCATCTGTTACAGATATTACTAGGCCCTATCAAAATAAATAATGAATAAAACAAATATAAGTTTGAAACAAAATGAAAACAGTTATGCAATCTAGTGACTGCATAGTAAATATGAAAGAATAGGAAATATTGTTGAAACGTGTATAACTTTTATCGAAATCAACTGCAAGAAATCAAAATCATCGCTACAAACTGTATGTATTGTAAAAAGTTTGTACATGTCTAATGAATCGGTATATTTTTACTAATATTTTACTACTGGAAACCATTTTGGTTGTTTTGTGTGTTTACAGTTTAATTGAATACAAAACTTAAAGGAATCGAATTCTTAAACTTTTTTTTTACTTTAAAACTTTCTGAATTTTCTCCATCATCATTATTTCAAAACAATATATTTTAGCTGATATTCAAACATACATACCATGAAAACAATCTTCAATTCTGGCCAGTCACTGTATCTACTTTCTGCAATGACGTTGGACATCCAGATATCTCGAAGACATATAACAAGCTCCGGGACGAGTAAGAGTATCAAAATGTTTGCATACCTATAATTAATATAAAATAAAAATATGAAACAGAATACTGTCAAATTTGTGTTGATGAGAAGCATATTTTCTAGGAGTGGAAGAAAAACAAAAGCGCATCGAACGAGTACTGAAAAATGACAAATATGCCTAGAGTAACCGAATGATAATTGTTTTGTTTGATATCTTGATTGATTGTAAGTTGCTGTTGTACGATTCGAAAAGAAATTTTCCCTCATATAGAAACGTCCCTATAACCTGGTTAGGGGTTTCAAATTATTCTTTTCTTTGACACGCAGGGCGATTGACTCAGTGAGGAATCTTTATCGCACCATAGTATGTCGTGACATTATATATCAGTTTTTAAAATTCTCAGCCAAAGAATTAAATTTCGTATTTAATACCCAGCTCACATTAGTGACTGATACGTCACAAGTCACACGGGAAGAAAAGTAAAAGTCACGAGTCTTTCAGATGATACTTTACAGAGGTCCCCGGGCACGAGATGCTTTGCACGTTTTAACACCTTCACTGTTCAGTGACACTGAATGCTGAGTACATGTCGCATTGAAAATTTGAAACCCTTCTCCAGTTTAAGCTGACGACTCTCTTTATTTGTGAAAAATAGGACACCAAACAACACACAAGCAAGCAAGTCGATTTACGTCATGTAAAATAAAACGATTGTCAAAATATGTAACCAAAGATTGTCGAAATATCTGTATACATAAGATTTTGATGTACGAGGGTTGTCCCGTAAAATCGTGCACAAGTTGTCTAGTGTGAAAAATAAACATCATTGCGTTCTGAAATTTTCACTAATATTTAGTACATATTTTAGTAATATACACAGCAAATTTCAGATAAATATATGCATAAATAAACAAATTATGTGATTTTATGCCATGTATTGTATCACCTTACGGCGCATGGATTATAACGTCAAAGTGTCTAAAACAGCGTCATGTTTTATCTTTGCTGAATATGAAGTTGGATGAGTCCGACTTAAATTTAGGAATTTCATTGATACACATTCTTTAGTCTCCATAAACAGTCGAAGAACCAGTTGGCACCCTCATGCGATCTTCTGAAGATTTATTAGTAAGTTACGGACAATATTCTCACCATCATTCAACTAATAGAAAATCTCATATCTGCGGTCGACTGTGACAGTGTCTTTTACTATTACATTAGGAGTTTGTCCGTATGTTTTGTACTCCCCAGGGACTCGATAAAAAAAAACTTCGCTAAGAAAACTCCTATTTCATTTGTATACTTAAGATATGGTGATATTTTTATAATCTTTTTTCTTCTACGGTCATTCCAAGTCTCTAAAGTTGTCATTACAACATATAAATAAAACTGAACTGTTCTCCGGTGCGCCGTAACGTCATAAAACGTCGCCATTTTTCGTGTGTTGTGTTTACCACTTTCCCATTTCGAATGCTCGAGAAACTGCCAAAAATTAAGCAAATGCCTTATTTTTTTTTTTACAAAGACTAAAAAATTGATTGTGGAATTGAATTAGGATAATTTTAATCCAATCTTATGTATATAAAACATTTATTTTGTATTCAAACTTGTGTATTCTTTAATAAAACCTTGGTTTTTTGACCGCGCGCCATAGGACAATATCTCGTGCACATTCAAGCATTATAATGCAATCTTTATTTTTGCCTATATTTTATAAAAAAAAAATTATCATGCATTTAAATATGATAAATAAACATTTACTGAAATTTTCAGCTTAGTGCGCCCATTACTTTTCGAGAAAAACGCTTTGTCCACGATTTTACGGGACAACCCACGTACTATTACACTGAATAATAAACTAACTATATGGACACATTCTGCAGTCAAAAAGTGTAAAGATGCAGTAAGAACAAAGTTGTTAAATAGCTCTCATATACCAACCAGACGTCTACATCCGTTGATTGCTTTGCACTGAATAATGCTGTTAGCGAAAGTTGACCTCCAGATAGAAATACAAATTGCAGCAAAATGTAGACGAAAATGGCAATCACCTGGAAATTGAGAATAATAAATGGTAAAAAAAAAAAACTCACTATTGTATAACCTCATCAGAGTTTTTTTTTTTTTTTTTTTTTTTTTTTTTTTTGTAGAAGGACATCAAAATAGCAGCTACATAATTTTGTATCAGATAGAAACACAAAATTGCAGCAATATGTAGACGAAAATGGCAGTTACCTGGCACCTAGCAATGGAGAATTAAAAATGGTAAAAGACTAATATGATGTTTTTGTCATAAACATTTTTTTGTAGAAGGACACCAATCTTTAGCAGCCGCATAATTGAGTATTACAGAAAGGTTTTTAATAAATGCAGTCCTAAAGAAAACATAAAAATAAAAACAATACAACCCTTGGCATTTTGTTGTAAATTACATACTTAATTTTGTATTAAGAGGTCGTCGGATATTCAGATTACTGTTCGTAAATGTTTAAGATCATTTAGCTCTTTAATCAGTGTCAGTTTGAAAGCACGTATTATTCATTTCAAAATCAATTTTAGGATAAGTTGATAATTAGTACGTTAGCATTAGGTAAGAGACCTTCATTCCTTGATTTATAGCGATTTTATAGTGGCAACAAAAAGTACACAGATACTGAGAAATGGCGATCTTAATATCGAGGTTAGGCATTCTGTACGTTATGATAAGACAGTAAAAGTGACTTAAGGTTGATTAATACTCTGATAAAGAAGACAAGGCTTACTAATTTAAATTACAATTAAACCTTATATAAAACAGATAATAGTCAATTTTGTAAAATTCGCCCTACAAATTATAGTGAAACTGTGTGCATTTCAATTATAAATTAGATTTTTTGAAAACCGTAAGGGTGAAGAAAGAATGTTTAGTGAGCATTAATTAATTTCATTTACCTGATCTTAAATCATAGTTTAATTTGATAGAAGATATGTATGTATTCCTTATTGAAAATGATTTACCATCTTGATTGTCTATCTATATGATAAAGTAAGAAAACATTTTTTTTATTTAAAAAGAAATCTGTTAGTACAAACACGGATATAGCGAATTCACGGATATAGCGAAGTTATATTGGAACCCCAGCTATATAAATATAACAAATTCCATATACAGATATAACGAATTACGGATATAGCGAAGTAATTTCACAGGTCCCAGTGACTTCGTTATAACCGAGTTTTATTGTAATCTCGCTATTCAAATAATTCAAACAGCTCTATCAAAAGGAGGTACTTTGGTATCATACTTGCTAGCTTATTTACATACAAATACACGTTAACAATGACTGCAATGGAAATCACGTTATACATGTACAAATAAGATATGAACACTGCGACATATAAGTCCGGACACGACATTTTCCGGACTTTTAGGTACCCCTTCGAAAAGACATAGTTTAAAAAATTTAAAGGAGTTTGGTGGGTTTTTTTTTTATCACTTCATCATGTCAATCTTAACTTTCACAATGTTGTAGTTCCCTTTGTCAGCACTAGTATTTAGTGTCATAAAGGACAATTTTCTAAAAATAATGTGCACTTGGGTTTTCTAACATTTACTTTGAACGATATTTAGCACTTACGTACTCTATAGTTATTGTCATTAACACATAAGAACAAGGCACAGCTTCAATACAAATTAAGCTCTGTATTTTCTATAAAAAGAAAAGTACACTGTATATAACAAATCAAACTTCATTCTTTCTGCGTCATAGGAATTCCATGTAGTAAGAATACACACATCGTTAATCTCTTATGACCTCCTAAATGTTAATTGTGACATCATCGATTCATGTATTTCCCGTATTTTCTTAAAAAGTTGCAGAAGACATCAATTTTTAGTGGAATTTTCTTTCAGAAAACATATTCTGCCACTGTCGCACACAAAGATTTTAAGATGAATTATGTGATTTTCCAAAGCAGTTTACAATATATCCAAAAATTGATGTGGGCGACGGTGGCAGACACTATTTCTAAAAGGAAAATGAGCATAGAAATGAGTCATTCTGAGGCTTTTCTGCATTAAACTTAGAAATGTACCAAATCAATGACGTCATATTTCCAGAATAGCCATATTTCCAGAACAGCCTTCATGCCATATTCTTAAATGATTTATCATATTCATTTACTCAACTCTTGTTAAAGTCAATTTCATAACATTAAATTTTCAGGGCGCAATAAAGCCCAAACTGTACCGTCTTCTTTTCACTATGCTCAGTAATAAAAATGTTCGATATAAAGCTTTGACACAAAACAATAATAACAAGTCCCCTTTGACATACATAAAAATACAGAATTTTTATAGATTTTTTTCATATTTTAAACTTAAAAATGTATTTAGACACCCTCCTTTTTATATACATCTTTTGGGGGGTTTTTTCTTCGGAAAAATGCAAAAGAAAAGCAAAACATCAATCTTAAAAAAGAAACAAACAATTTAAAAAATTAGGTATGCTTGCACCAGATTTAATACTATGTATTTATTTTTACAAATGACCATGCTTTTAATTTTATGAAATTTTTATTATTTCATAAAATTAATGTTTAATTGGCAAAATAGTCCATAATTAAAAAAAAACGAAATAAACTACCAGTATCTTATCTATAATTTTACTATTCAAATATCTTAAAAATTGACAAAATCTTCAATTTTACTACCTGTACCAAAGTGATTTTTCCCCTTTAAATTTTTTGTCTAATTTTGTAGTTATGATTGACAACTCTTTGTATTGATAAGGCAACGAACATTTGAATATATACTCACCGTCAATAGAAACGCAACACCCTAACTTTAGGGGTGAAAATTATATACGGGATATAACTATGTACGAAAAAATTTAGGAAATCTTTTACTTTGCCAAATCAGTTATTTAACTGTTGAATGATTTTCATTCCATTACCGGAAGTTGATTTTTAGCCCCCTGAACAGAAATCAAAAATTAGCATTTTTGATAAAATTATTGACAATATTTTGGGTTTTCAAGGTTTTGTACCTGTTGATTATAATTT